TGAGAGAAGAGAAGAAAGGTAAGGTTTGTGTCTCATTTCCCACTTGGTGTCTTGCTGCTCCTGTGCAGAAAATGTTGAGTGGGGTAAGTCTGGGGACACTGTCATTGAGGAGTTGCCGTGATGGGAACCCTTACCCTGAGGGGTACACAGGAAACTTCACCTCTCCTTCACTCTCTGGGTGCAGGCTTGTTCCCAGCTGCTCCTTACCCAGGTAGCATTACCTTGTAAGGGGTTGTGAGCAATGGCAATTGTGAGGTTAGTCCAAGGAGAACATGAAAATTATTTAGGCCTCTGAAGGGAGGTTGTGTTAGATTACTTGTAAGGGCTTTTTCAATGCTGAGGTAGTAGGATTCCAAGCCAGTTTGGGCTAAGCACAACACTGGAATGGATTACCCAGGCTGAGGCAGGCTGCTGTGTTTTGGGCAGCTAACTGAATAGAACTGCCTTGGGGGGCAGGTAGCAGATGGTCTAGGTAACCTCCTAAGTTGCCTCTCCTCCTTCCTCTATAAGGGAGTGTAGGCCATGAAACCTCATGGTAAGAGCAGAGGAACAGAACACAGGTTTGGGAATCAGGATTTGTGTTCTAGCTCTGCTTTTCTTAGTGTACACCCCTAGGTATGTTGGTTAAGCTCTGCCATGTTCTCTTCACTTGCAAAATGGGGATAACTAACTTTCCAAGCCCCTCACAGGTTGTTCACAAGGAACAAATGAAATGATAGATTTTGAGAAGTATCCAGGGCCATGTACACGTAAAACAGTAACATTGCCATTGCTTCATATGCTTGTATAGTTACATAGAGAAAAACTCTAAATTAGTTTTGTTCTTTTATTGAACTAGGGTTCTGGCAAAAGCCTTATTTGTCCTTAATTAAAAGCCTGCCCTGAATTTGTCTCATCCTGTTGCTGTTAAACAATACCTGGGATCATGAAGTGGTGGCAAAGGTGCACGGGTTCAAGGAGAACTGAAATTGAGGGATTCTGCCAGATACCTTGTTGGCTCTCAGAGCTCTCCAGTCAGCTTGACAAGTGTGCCTCTTTGGGGTAGCAGATTAAAGAGGGGTGGAGAAAAGCGGAAGTCTCAAGGACCGAGTGTCTGTTTAGGAGATGGAACCCTGGGCCTTTCCTTCCTGTGCCATATCGTGGTCTTCTCTCCTGCTCTTTAAGATGCCAGTGTTTTTCAGACTGTCATTTTTTAGCCCTCTATAGGCTGTTCATGGTTACCTTACTTTCTGCTCACTCCTCCTTTGAACTCCAGTTTACCTCTGCCAAGATGCCTGCTTTTCTCAGTGACAATAACAGTAGAAGGGAGAGGTGTTGGGAATTTTGATAGACAGTGGGGTCTGGTGGCCTGGGCAAGGGGTAGGAAGCTTGGCTTCTAGCATTTCTTTGCCTCTCACTAGATGTGTAACACCTGGGCATCACATACACTGGGTTCTGGCAACAATAACAGAGGTCATTTGCAAGCTGAAAATCACATATTTATGACTTAATTTCTTTTTTCCCTTCCTTCCTTGCCATAGGAGTCCCTGAGTCCCCCAGGGGCCTGAGGGCTGGGCAGGCAGACCTGGGTGGAGTTCCTGGCCCTAGATGTTTCTTCTCTAGTCTGATGCCTCAGGTAGCCCCTTTGAGGCCAGGCTTCTACTTTAGAAGGTCTGGATTTCAGGGTGGGCCTGTCACCTCCCCTAGCTTTGTCCAGCAAATTCCTGGTGCTAGTCTTTGCTTAGATACCGGGATCACAGTGATCCCTCAGGGATGTGTGGTCCCAGGATGCCTCTGCAGCCCTCATCGTGCCTGGGAGGACGGTGAGTGCTTCGAAGCACTTGAAGTACCACAGAGTCGTGCTGTATTTGTACAGTGCTTACATTATGTGAAGTGTCCAGGCTGTTGTGTTGTGTAAGTTTTTCGTCACCACATTGTTGTGGGGAGAACAGAGCAGGGATTATTCTCCCAGTTTGATACTTGAGGGGAAGCTACAGAGAAGCCCTGATTAGGAAGGGCTTGCCCAAGTGTGGAGCGGCAGATGCTGTGATTGCCTGCCCAGTGCTGTGCTGCTCCTACAGCATCTGACCTGAGAAGGGCCATTCGGATTCTGCTGCAAACCTCCAGGGAGGGGAACTCAAGTGCCCTGTCAGACGGCCTCTCTGCTAAGATGTTTCTTCCCTGGAGTGAGCCAGAATTCCTCTCTCCTGTTGTTTCCACCAAAAGCAGTAGCCCTGCCCTCAGCCTGACCCTTCCACAAGACAGTGCTCTCAAGACAGTCACAGCCTTCTCACAGGGGTACCAGGATGTCAGGGCACAGCACTCATTGGGTGTCCAGCTACTTATCCACAATGATAGACTGAAACCACATGTTGTGTGTGTGTTGTAACTGAATTTATTTATACCCTTTTTTTTCCCAAAAGGAACTGTAGGTGGCTAACCAAAAGTTCTATTTCACAGACACTGCTCAGTGATTATTGTATTAATCTTTTTTCTTTTATCTTAATGAACTGAGTTTCTGGGTCTTTATGGGGAGAAGGGATATTGAGAGGAAGGGAGAGGGAAAAATAGATACATCATTGATTTAAAACTTTGCTTTTACCACTACTGATGGTTTCAGAGCATGAATTCTTAAGTTCAGAGCATGAATTCTTTCCAAATTATACAAAAATTCAGGGTATCTTAGGCATTGTTTATGGGAGGGTAGTTTCCTGGAACAACTTTCACTTCCTTCTTATCTCTCCTCTCCTCTTTTGGAAGTAGTGGGGGTTGGCTGGGGCCAGATCTTCCTATTCCTTCCATTTTCACATAATCCATTCCCAGTTTCATCCCCAGAATTCAGGCACCTGGCTCCTTGTTTCTGCCCTCCTTCCCCTATAATCCTTCTGCCTGAAACCTCCATCAGGAGCCCAGGACCTCTTTTCCCAGGTCAGTTTGGCACTCATCACCCTGTTTCTTGCCTCTCAGACCAAATGTTTTCTCTTGCTTCCATCCAAGAATTCAGCTCATTCTTGTTCTCTAACCAGGCCCTTTGTTTTGGGACAGTCATGGAATTTCTACTCTTAGATCTTCCTGTGAGCCTTGGAATTTAAACAGAGGACTATAATGATGGTGCGAGAGTTTTGGTACACAGTTACCTGTCCTGTTCCCCATTGAACAGCCTTAGATGGAGAAGGATTATTGGTAGAGGTGGGAATCTGACATCTCATGGGCTGGTTGGTTTCCCCACCTTTCAGCATCCCACTCTGGCCTTTGTCCTGGGACAGTGATTTTAGCTCCTGATATCTTGGCCCTACAGTGTTTCCCAACTTTTTACATTTTAAGAAACTCTGGTTTTCCCTCTTGCCTTGACATGGAGTGTTAGTATGTAGGCCTTCCATGTCTCCTACCTGAGGAAAAGCTTAGAGAAGGGGCAGAGGTACAGAAGCATTGGCTGCTGGCTGGCACATGGGAGCTGGTTGGCTCCCATCTCCTGCCACAGTCCACACAATCAGCTAAACTGGAGACCTTGCACACACACACACACACACACACACACACACTCACACACACACACGTGTCCAGCCTCACTGAGGTGTCAGCTCTTCTTTCACTCTTCTCCTTCAGGGCTGGGCTCCAACTGCAGGATTTCCCTGCTGCCCCACTGTGTGCCTGTCATGCTGGACACACAGCTATAACAAAGAGCACTTGCACTCAAGGCTGCATGAGGAGAGGGAATGAGTGCCATCTTTGGAAGCAGGAATGCCTGGGGCTAAAACTTGGCCATGACCCTCATTAGGTCTTGTGACCTTCAGCAAGTTGGCACTTAGCTGGAGTCTCAAACTCTTCATCTGTAGAATGGGATGACAATGTGTACTCTGCAGAGCTGCTAGGAGGGTTAAAGGAGAGGCTGGGGGTGGGGCAGGATGCAGGTCTGGCATGTGATGGCCTCTGTGCAATTTTGTTTTAGCTCCTCACCCCCACGCAGGGAACTTTAGGGCATGTCCTGCCTTTGTTTCTCTAAAACCCCACATAATTCCTAGTTTCACCTAGAAACAAGTTAGTGAGTGAAGTCAGTAACCATATACCACAAAGTTCTGGCCTGCTCTGTGCTCTGGAACACAGGGGAGGGAAGTGGGTGGGGGCACGTGCTGGTGCCAGAGTGTGTCCTGATCACATGGTAGCGCTGGCCCTGGACTCAGTCCTTCTCAGGAAAGTCATCTGCATGAGTAGCCGGTAGTTCTCAGCTCCCCACCCTCACTTGTTAGGGTCAGATACGGACATCTAGGCTTTTCCAGGGTCCCCCCCTCACCCCCTTTCACAGGGCTACCACAAAGCCTGATTGAGGCCTTTTCTCTTCAGGTCTGGTGGGTCTACCCTAGGGAAAGGTCTGTCTCTCTTTGCTCTTTTGCTCCAAACTAACAGCACTCATTACCCACCCCGAAAGGAAAAAACAAACAAAACAAAAAACAGGAAGAAAAAAAAGCCAGCTTGCTCTTTCTCGATTTTGGCTGCAGGTGTTTCCTCCTTGGCTTCCTTTTTGGCATCCTGGTTCGTGTTCTTACTTCCCTGCACCCTCTAGCCTCTTAAATGCCCTGGACTCCTCCCTCCTGGAAGCCAGGGGTTGTGGGGAGGATCCTTGGCTTTGGGTTTGGTAAACGCACTACTGAGGCAGGCTGCTTGGCCTACCTCTGGCAGGGCTCTGCCCCTCAACCCCACGAGGCCCTGGGCTCTGGGGCTGGGGAGACGCGAGAAGTCTGACTGGAATGGGCTGAGTGTGGTTGGGTTGATGGGTATAGACCCGTGGAGTTGCGATTGAGAGCGGCAAAGGGCTCAAAGGTAACAGCTGTCTCCATAGCATCTCCAGAAGTTGGGGACCCCGGAAAACTTGGGGCGTCCAGACCGCGAGTCCTTCTGAGAGGTCGAGCGTTGGAGGCGAGCCGGGGAGAAGGGGTCCCGGGCGAGTAGGGGCAGCCGGCCCCGCCCCTCGGCCTGCCCCGCCCCGCCCTCCCCGGGGAAGGGCCACGTTGCCCGCCCGGCGGTCCGGCCCTCGAGCGCCGCAGGAAGAGCCTGCCTGGCGGAAGGTGCCGGCGGCCTCCGCGCTAGCGCCTGGAACGCGCCGGGGCACCGGGCTCGCTCCCCAAGCCCCGGGGCGGGCCAAGTTCAGGGCCGGGAAGTTGGGAGGACCTGGTGAGTGGGGGCCGGGGAACGCCAGCGTCCGTCAGTTCTGGGGCTTGTCCCCGGAACGGGACCGAGGTCTGACTGAAGGAGGCCCCGCAGGAGCGGAGAGGGCGCTCCGGAGCTCGAGTCCCGGCTTGGGAAGCTGTCCCTTTCCGAGCCCTCCGTGTCCTCCGACAGCCCCGGTGCCCGAGAGAGGGACTTGGCTCGGGCCGCCCCGGGTCCCGGCCACGGGCCCCTTTGGAGCCGGGAAGTGGAGCTCTGCGTTCCGCTTTCGGAATCCCGGGCCTCCAGCTGGTGAGAGAGGGCGGGCTCCGCGGGGAGGGGGCTGGTTGTGAAACTCAGCCTCTGGGCCGACGTGGGTGTGGGGCCTGGAGGAGCTGGGGTCGCTGGAGAGGGTTTGGGGAGCGGAATGCGAGGGGCCTTTCCCCAGACCCCACCCGCGCGTCCATTCCAAAAGTTACTAGGGGTTCTTTCTCCTCTGCCGGGAGGAAGAATTGACTCGATGTGGAAATAAGTAAATTGTCAAGAAAACTTTCTTGTACTTGTTTGCTAATGTGTGTGGAGTAGGGGGGCCCTGAGACGTGCAGGGCCCCATCTTATAAACCCTGGAGCACAGGGGCTGTGGCCGGCTGGTCTGTGTCCCCACGGGACAGTGAACCCTGGAGTGAGGCTCCACCTTGGTTAACCTTTGACCCTGTGATGTGTTTAATTAGTCCTCCCTTTATGAACATCACTGGCTGAGATTGTCCAGCTTTATCTTCTGTCGTTTATAATACTTTTCAGACCATGTAGACTTTTCTTTTAGATGCTTACATCCCCCCTGCGTCTGCCTCGAACTGTGAATCACCCCTGCCTGACCCCATTACCCGAGACCATTGAGGCCTCTCGGATCTCCCCTGTCGTTTTCTCAGATTAGAAGGCAATGTAGTATGTCTAACCTCAGTGGCCTATGTGACAGGTTAAACTCATTTCCTGTTTGGGACACTGGGGAAATTGTCACTGTCCTTTTCATCATCAGAGCCCAGGGGCCTTGGAGATGATCCAAATCAACCCTCTCCCTGTTCAAATGAGGGAACTAAGGCGCAAGTGACTTGCCCAAGATTACTTGGTTTCCCAGGGCTTCATGCTTTTTGCTGCACTAGCATCATATATCCCTTTAGCCTGCATCCCTTTCCTCTAGGTCTTATTCTCTAAGTCCTTCAATTATTTAGTGTATCTTCTCCGACTCCCTTTCAGTTCTAACATCCTTTTGAAATTATGGAGCCTGTACAAGGTACAGGAATCTAGCAGAGGTCTAATGAACAAGAAGGTGATTCAGTTAGGTCTCCATTATCTGTGGCATGTTCTATGCTTTCTGGTTTTTTTCAGGCAGTGCTTTTTAATGTACTAAGCAACACAGAGACAGAAAGGAAGGTCTGTCAACATTCCTTCAACTTGCATACTTTCTAAAAGCTAAATAAGACTTCTCCATTATTGCTTACAGTGAGAAGTTGACTATCTGGTGTTCTTTTGCTGTTCAAGAAACATTTTCTTGTCACAGAGAGAGAACTGGCTAGAGAATACCATAGGAATCAGAGTTTTAAAAAGGGATCTCACAGCTCATAGGCAGTTTTTCAAAAGAAGAAACTGAGCTAGCTAAGTGTCCATCAACAGAGGAATGGATAAGGAAGATGTGGCACAGATATACAATGGAATATTACACAGCCATAAAAGGAACGAAATTGGGTCATTTGTAGAGACGTGGATGGACCTAGAGAGTGTCATACAGAGTGAAGTAAGTCAGAAAGAGAAAAGCAAATATTGTATATTAACACGTATATGTGGAATCTAGAAAAATGGTACAGATGACTTTATTTGCCAAGCAGAAATAGAGACACAGACATGGATAACAAACATGGACACCAAGGGGGAAAGGGATGGGGTGGGAGGAATTGGGAGATTGGGATTGACACATATACATTATTGATACTATGTGTAAAATAGACAACTGATGGGAACATATGTATAGCACAGGAAACTCTACCTAATGCACTCTGGCGTTCTAAATGGGAGGGATATCCAAAAGGGAGGGGCTATATGTATATGTATGGCTGATTCATTTTGCTGTGCAGTAGAAGCTAACACAACATTGTAAAGCAGCTATACTCCATAAAAAGTAAAAAAGAAAAAAAAGAAGAAGCTGAGACCCACGGGAGTTGGTGGAACCTGCCCAGAACCTCCTGGGTTTTCGTTGAGGGTCTTATTCACTAAAAAGGCTCACTCCTCATCTCCCACCACAGTGCAGATGTCTTTGTACTTGGTGGTGTGGACCAGCTATGTGACTTCCCTGAAGGAGTTGTGAAAACTCTGGCAAAAAAAAAAACTACTGTGAGTTTGTGCCTTGCAGGCAAATGTCATTAATAACAGAACATCAGGTACTCAGGTCAAGGTTAAGGACTGTTGTTCTATTTTAGAAAAGAAAGATGTAGCAAATTGTACTTTCCCAAAATGGCCACAACTTTAAATATCCCACTCTACATTGTTACAATAGGACATTGCCCTCCTCCCACCCGGTGGTGGGGAGTCTGTGTTCCTTTTCGCTTGAATGTAGGCAGCGACTCGTGATACCCCTGGCCTGTGAGTAAGTCAGAAGTGATCCAGGGCTTCCCAGGTTGAGAGTCCGCCTGCCGATGAAGGGGACAAGGGTTCATGCCCCGGTCCGGGAAGATCCCACGTGCCGCGGAGCAGCTGGGCCCGTGAGCCATGCGCGTCCGGAGCCTGTGCTCCGCAACGGGAGAGGCCACAACAGTGAGAGGTCCGCGTACCGCAAAAAAAAAAAGAAGTGACCCAAGGTTTTGGATCACTGTGGTTTTGCTCCTGGCCTTTCATGTACTTGCAGTCATATGTGGCTGGAGTTGGAATCATCTGGAAGGCTTCCTCCCATGTCTAGTGGCTGATGCTGACTGTTAGCCAGACCTTAGCTGCGGTTGTCAGCTGGAATACCTAGAGGTATCCTGTCCACATGGCCTGGGCTTCCTCTTACTTTGGTGGCTGGGTTCCAAGAGCAGGCATCTCAGGAGCACCAAGTGGAAACTGTATTGCCTTTCATGAACTAGTCTTGTAAGTCACATAATCATCACTTCCTCTGTAGTCACAGATCAAAGAGAGGGAACATAGACCCCATCTCCCCCAGTCTAGAGGGAGGAGCCTCATTGTCACTTTGTAAGAAGAACATGTGGGATGGGATATTTGGTAGTCATCTTCGGAAAATGTAATCTTTCACTGTTAGGCTGCTAGTTTGGTCTTCTTTCTCCCCGATTTAGTGAATAATGCAAGCAGCCCTCCGTCTAGTTACTTGAACTTCGTACATGTGCCAAGCACTGTCATAGGTATACAGATCATAGAGCCTTTTTTCTAAGGAGTAAGGTGAGAGCCAGGTAAGTACAGCCACAGGTTCTGTTACAGTGTGGAGAGGAAAGACAGGAGGTATGGAGAGAGTACGGTGGGAGTATAGCTGTGGGAAGCCTGGCTCTGCCTGGATGTTAAGGACCTGGGTTCTTAAGGATGTATAATGCTTGTAGGTGGGGCTTTGGATAATATTTCAGGATGCGGGACCAGCCAGAGGAAAGAAAGCAGTGTACAAAGGGTACTTATTGAGGGAGAAAGTAGCCTGTTGAGGCCAGAGTACGGGGTTCATGGGATTAGTGGTTGGAGGTGAGGTTGAAAAGGAATGTTTGAGTCAGTTTGTTGTGAAGGCCCTGTGTGTCATAATAATAATTTTGAGTTCTAGTCTGTGGGCAGTGGCAGTATGGTTTTTAAGGCAGGTTAGTGTTGGGACCAGTTGTGTACTTTAAGAAGGATGCTCTGTTACTGTTGGGAAGATTGCTTAGAGGGGAGCAAGGTGTGTGATAGGTGAACCAGCTGAGGAGCCACATCAGGAGTTCAGTATTTAATAATAAGGAAAGAGAGTTCAGCTTAAAGCGTTTGAGATCTTGAAATGGGATGATGGCAGTGAATGGGTAACTTTCTCTTCCATTTTCATAATTCTGAAATTCTTGGGGCTGGGTATGTTTCAGAATTTAGAATTTTTTGGATTTAAAAAAGATGATCTGGTGCATTTATGGTGTAGTGAAGGTCTGGAGCAGCATACGATAATCCAGCATGTTTATTTTCTGTAGCAAAACATATGAATGGGCTAAATAAAGACTGTAAGTAGCCTCACATTAGATCAGATTTCTCCAAATGAGGTTAAGCCAAACAGGTGTGGAAAACTTGTTTTTCAGCACTTTTTGGACTTGGGAATTGCAGTTAAGTGATTGTGGGTGTGTGGCATCCACATGGAAGCCACTTTTTTGTTGCAGGCAAATCTGAATGTCGAGGATCTTAGCATAGCAGCTTGGCAGCACTGGGGGAGTGGGTCCGCCTCCTCAGGTAGCTGGTGGTAGAGGGGATTTGACAGATGTTGAGCACAGCGTTGTGCTGGTGCTGTTGGTTGTGAAGGGGAGGTGGGCCTCACAGGGTCCGAAAGCATCAGGGAAGGTGTCCTGGCGAGGTGTGAGTCAGAACACACTAGGTGAAGAAGAGAGAGAAGAGCCGACCAGGCATACTGGCACATGCACAGGCCCTGAGGCAGGCTCGAGTGTTTGGGTCCTGGAAGGAATCTAGTAGAGTGGAGTAAAGAGAGCCAGCGAGAGAGGGGACTGGCTAGCGATCACGTACTTCGGCAAGATAAGCAAGTCCTGTTTGAGAATTTAGAGAAAAGGGTTGTGGGGTGGAGAACAAGGGCCTGAGGGCTAAGGTGGAGGCCTGGCTGGACTGGGGCAGCTGTTTCCTGTGGGCTGTCTAACATTTCTTGAGGTTTATAGACTTGCTAGGAATACAGTCTGCAGAGGGGCTGAGAAGATTGCTTTGATCTGCCTGGCTTAGAAGGTGTTGGGAGGTCTTCCAGGCCTCAGGGTAGTGGGTGTGGGCCACCTAATTCTGATGTCTGGAGCAGGGTGCAGGGTGGAGAGGATGTGGTCCCATGGGGTTTTGCTACCCCTCTGAGAGCCTGCTGGTTTGAGGTGGCTCATTGATAAGTCAGAGACAAGCCTGCTCCTCCGGCCCTGAAGCCAACACTTCGGCTGAAGGAGTCAGTTTCCTTTTCTTTCCCCCATCTCTTTATCTAAAGACTATTCCTGCCCAGTCAGTTGGGAGGCAGGATGTTGGGGGTTAGGGACTCCAACATTGACCACATCCTGAGGGGGGAGTGAGGAAGAAACTGGAAATCGGTGTGTGTTTCTCTTCTAGGAAACCCTAATTGGCATATGAGCACTAATAAAATGGAAATTTAATGACACAGTAAAACTGAAATGGACTTGAGGTTTCTGAGAAGACTGCTGCGATGGAGTTGTGAGGGTGGATGGTTTCTAGGAGGAAGACAGGGGGTGGTAGTGCTTGCAGGGGCTGGAGGGGTCTCTGAGGAGGGAGGCAGAATCCATTCCCGTTAGAGACTCTTAAAGATCAGCCCTTTGATCCTTGGATACTGGATCTGCCTGCTCGAGAGTCCAGGAGCACAGAGATGAGATCTGGGACCCAAGATTTTAGCTAGGGTTAGAGAACTGGTCTGTGAGGCAGAGGGGAACTGGCAGAGCAGTCAGCACAAGGGAGTGCAGACCTGAGGCTTTGGGATATGAAGTGTTGAGACCAGAGGCAGGAATGCCAGGGAGAGAGTTGCATGGTCAGGAATGGCAGCTGTCCTGGAATGGGAGGGTATGGTAGATCCTTTCAGTAATGAGGTCTGGTAGAGTGAGGGAGTTGGCAGGACCATGCCTTTTTCTTGTTAGATGTGTGTCCCAGTCCCTTCCCAGAGCCTGGCAGAGAGCAGGTGTGTGATGCATGTCATGGTGTGATTGAGGAGTTCAGGAAAAATGGATTGTGTCCCAGTTCTTCTTACTGATGTGCCCAGCTGGGGCCATATTGGATGAATCTAGTCAGAGCTGTGGGCTATGTCCCTATATTTGATTTTAAGAAATTTTATTTGACAGTAACTTCAAACTATAAAAAAGTTGCAAGAATAAAAATGGTATAAGAATACTCATATTCCCATTACTCAGATCCACCTATTAACATTTTGCTCCATTTGCTCTTCATATACATACATGATATTTTTGTTCTGAACCATTTGAGAAGTTGCATCTACCATGGCCCTCTACCCCTAATTACTTCAGCGTGTATTACCTAAGAATTGGGATATTCTTTTATATAACCACATTATGGTTATCAGTCAGTCAACACTGATACTTTGATCTACGGTCTATATTCTAATTTTGTCATTTGACCCAATAATATCTTTTTTAAAAAGTTTTATTGAGGTATAAATGATATACAGTAAACTTTACATAGTTAAAATTGTAAGTTTTCATAAGTTTGTACATATGTATATACCCATGAAACTATGATCCCACAAAGTTTCCTAGTGTCCCTTTGTAATACCTCCCCTGATGTTCTCACTGCCCCCATCCCCAGGCAGCCACTGATGTGCATGTACTCTTTCACATCTTGAATAATTATTTTGAGATTTGTCCATGTGTCGTGTGTATCAGTAGTACGTTCCTTTTTAATTGCTGAATATTATTCCATTCCATGGGTAAACCACAATTTGTTTATCCATATTCCCATGTTGATGGGCATTTGAGTTGTTTCTACTTTTTGGCAATTATGAATAAAGCTGCTATAAACACTCCATATAGGTTTTTGTTTGGACATATGTTTTCATTTCTCTTGGGTCTGTATGTAGGAGTGGACTTGCTGGGTCATATGGTAACTCTCTGTTTAGCATTTTGACTAGCTGCCAGACTGCTATAAAAGGACATTAGTTCCATATCTCACACCATATACACGAATTAACTCAAAATCGTAAACCTAAATGTACAACCTAAAACTATAAAACCTAAAAAAGAAAACATAGGGAAAAATCTTTGTGACTTTGGCAAAGATTTCTTAGCTACAACGCCAAAAGCATGATTCATAAAAGAAAAAAACCCTGATAATTGGACATCATCAAAATCAAGAACTTCTGTTCTTCAGCTGACTCTGTTACGAGAATAGGACAAGTGTTTGAATTTTTGCCAGTCTGATGGGTGGAGAAATGTTATCTTAGTATAGTTTTAATTAGAATATTTCTTATGAGTGAAATTAAATACCTTTTCATATGTCTAAGGACCATTTTAATATTTTTGTGTGTGAGTTGCCCTAGTCATATAGACAAGAGTTTGGGCCTTTTTTCCCCTCAGTTTTTAAAAAGTCCTTTGTCTGTGAGGGTATTGGTTTATTATTTGTGATGTATGTTGCAAATATCCTCTCCCAGTTTGTTATTTGTCTTTTGACTTCGCTTATGGTGTTTTTAGCCATGCAAAAATTGTCTTATTTATTACTGCATCTGTATTTTAAGTCATACTTAGAAAGCCTTTCCCTACACTAAGGTTACAGAGGAATTGACATACATTTTCTTTTAGCACTTGTATGGTTTTATTTTTCTCCTTAGGTGTCTAGTCCACTTGGAATTTATTCCACTTGGAATTTATTGTGTACGGATCTTATTTTTTTCCCCCAAGTAGCTATATAATTGTTGTAACACTATTAATAAGACCATTTTTTGCGCCAGTAATTCTAAATATCCCCTTTGTCATACATTAGATTTCTGCGTGTAGTTGGGTGTATTTCTGGCGTTTAAATTCGATTCCTTTGGATGATCTGTTTGTTTACATACCAGCACCACATACCTTTAATTATAGAGGCTTTGTAATGTTTAGTATGTTAATATCTGGTAGGGCTAGTCCCTCTTCACTGCTCGTTCGTTTTCATCATTTTCCTAGATGTTCTGTTATGAACTTTTGTCTAGCTCTATAAAAAAGTATTTTTATTGAGGTTTTTGATGATGCTGAGATGCCCTAACCAAGAACAAGGGATATTTAAGTCTTATTTTGTGTCTTTTCGGGAATTATAGGTTCGTGTAGATTTTTGAATATTTCTTGTTAATTCCTAAATAGTTTATCATTTTCATGGCTATTATAAATAGGGTTTTCTCATTTGTTGTTTTTTTAATGAGTTATTATTTGTGGATATGAAGGCTATTGATTTTTGCATGTTAATTTTTATATCCCACTACCTTGCTCAATTCTTTGATTGTTTAGGTTGGATTTATCATTGATTCTCTTAGACTTTTCCAGGCATATTCTCATAGCATCAGTACATTGAGATACTTTTGCTTCTTCTCCACTTCCTCTGCCTATGATTGTGTTCTGCAGTCCAGTTGCATTGGCTGATCCCTCCAACAGAATGTTAAATAGTCGTTAGATCTGGGGTGGCTTGGCTTTGCTCCTGACCTTCGTGAGAATGCCTCTGGTGCTTCTTTATTAGGTAAGGTGCTGGCTTTAGCCCTGAGGTGTGATATTAGAGTTTTAAAATCAGTAATCTTTTTTTTTTTTTTTTTTTTTTTGCGGTACGCAGGCCTCTCACTGCTGCGGCCTCTCCCGCCGCAGAGCACAGGCTCTGTGCTCCGGACACGCAGGCTCAGCAGCCATGGCTCACGGGCCCAGCCGCTCTGCGGCACGTGGGCTCCTCCCGGACCAGGGCACGAACCCGCGTCCCCCGCATCGGCAGGCGGACTCTCAACCACTGGGCCACCAGGGAAGCCCTAAAATCAGTAATCTTTGGGTAGTTTGATTTGAGGCATGAGAGGCAGGTGGTCTAACCCCTACCTCTCCTAAGCTCTGGAAAGAAGATGATAAACAAAATCTGTCAGGTAGGGAAGGGGGAAGTGGAATTCCTTTGCTTCCTCTCTTCCACCAACATCACTCTCTACACCCCCCCCACCCCCCACCCCCCCCACCCCCCACCACCCCCCCAAAAAAACCACATTGCTTTTCAGAGGACTCATGAACTCATTTTGGAGTGCGGGAACATGCTCTCCTAATCCTATTCTTCCGCAGAGATTGACCCTCCAGATTAGGGAACAGGCAGCTATCTTTTAAGAGAGCTTTGGAGTTAACGTCCTGGCCTTCCTTGTCCTGCACTTTTCCATCTGTTTCTGCGCCCCATTCTTCCACTCCAGGGCAGCCCCATGCCTCGTGATGATGGTTGTTTTTCTCCTCTCCTCAGGTGCATGGCTGCTTCCTAATCCTGGAGCCCAGAGGAAACATCCCTAGAACTGTGCGCGTGTGAGCCAGGCAAGCCAAGGGCAGCCTTGAGCCCCACCCTTGCCCGCCTCCCCCGCGGGGGCCAGGATGCTGAAGAAGCAGTCTGCAGGGCTCGTGCTGTGGGGCGCCATCCTCTTTGTGGCCTGGAACGCCCTGTTGCTCCTCTTCTTTTGGACGCGCCCGGCGCCTGGCAGGCTGCCCTCAGACAGTGCTCTCGATGACGACCCCGCCAGCCTCACCCGGGAGGTGATCCGCCTGGCCCAGGATGCTGAGGTCGAGTTGGAGCGGCAGCGGGGGCTGTTGCAGCAGATCAGGGAGCATCATGCTAGGTGGAGCCAGCGGTGGAGGGTGCCCACCGTGGCCCCGCCTGTCCTGCCGCGCGTGCCTGTGACCTCTCCGCCAGCTGTGATCCCCATCCTGGTCATCGCCTGTGACCGCAGCACCGTCCGGCGCTGCCTGGACAAGCTGCTGCATTATCGGCCTTCGGCCGAGCACTTCCCCGTCATCGTCAGCCAGGACTGCGGGCACGAGGAGACAGCCCAGGTCATCGCCTCCTACGGCAGCGCCATCACGCACATCCGGCAGCCCGACCTGAGCAACATCGCAGTGCCGCCCGACCACCGAAAGTTCCAGGGCTACTACAAGATTGCCCGGCACTACCGCTGGGCGCTGGGCCAGGTCTTTCACACGTTCAAGTTCCCAGCAGCCGTGGTGGTGGAGGATGACCTGGAGGTGGCTCCAGACTTCTTCGAGTACTTCCAGGCCACGTACCCGCTGCTGAGGGCCGACCCCTCCCTCTGGTGTGTGTCCGCCTGGAATGACAACGGCAAGGAACAGATGGTGGACTCAAGCAAGCCTGACCTGCTCTACCGCACAGACTTCTTCCCTGGCCTGGGCTGGCTGCTGTTGGCCGAGCTCTGGGCTGAGCTAGAGCCCAAGTGGCCCAAGGCCTTCTGGGACGACTGGATGCGCCGGCCAGAGCAGCGGCAGGGCCGGGCCTGTGTGCGGCCTGAAATCTCCAGGACGATGACCTTTGGCCGCAAAGGTGTGAGCCATGGGCAGTTCTTTGACCAGCACCTCAAGTTTATCAAGCTGAACCAGCACTTCGTGCCCTTCACCCAGCTGGACCTGTCCTACCTGCGACAGGAGGCCTATGACAGGGATTTCCTTGCACGTGTCTATGGTGCTCCCCTGCTGCAGGTGGAGAAAGTGAGGACCAGTGAGCGGAGTGAGCTGGGGGAGGTGCGGGTGCAGTACACGAGCAGGGACAGCTTCAAGGCCTTCGCCAAGGCCCTGGGAGTCATGGATGACCTCAAGTCTGGTGTCCCCAGGGCCGGCTACCAGGGCATCGTCAGCTTCCTGTTCCGGGGCCGCCGTGTCCACCTGGCCCCACCCCAGACCTGGGACGGCTATGATCCTAGCTGGAATTAGCAGCACCTGCCTGTCCCTCCTGGGGCCCCTCCTGGCCTATCATGGCCTAAGATGGGACCGTAGTCCCTGGGCTGCATCATCCTCTCTGTGTTTCTCTCTTGTGTCCATTTATCTTGTTTTTTTTTTTTCTTTCTTTTTTTGAGTGGCATTCAAGTGCACAGATGATAAGGTGAGGGTTATTCTCCCGTTCTCAAGGGGGTCAAATCAGGGGAATCTTTCTGGGGTATGTTGGGGGAGTTATTAAGCAGGAAACCACTGTGTGGTAGGGAGAGACTTGGGCTCGTTGGGGCCACAAAACCCACGTTCCAGGTTTTCTCCCAGGACATCTGTGGAGAGGTTGGCAACTTTAGTTCTCTTGATCAGGCCTCTTTTCCCTGTCCTGGCTATTCTAGCCAGAGTATGAGCCCTCCTCCTGTACCTGTCCCCCACCATCTCCACCTTCCCCCAACTGGAGCAAGGTGGGAGGCTGGATTATGTGAGAAGGAGATGTATTTGTGGCCAAAATGAGACTAACCAAAGGGGTTTCATCATCATCAGGGTCTGGGCAGAGCTGTTAGGTTGTCAGGGTTCACTCCCTCCTGCCTGTATTTCTCTTCTTCCCCCTCTCGTTTATCCCTGACCACCTCTCAGCTCTTCTTTCCCTGCAGCCTAGCAGTTCGTGATCCTAAGATGAAACGGTGAAGGGGAAAAGCAGAACCTCTCCTCAGCTCGCGCGCTGGGGTGGGGGGAAAAGCCTCGGGTGCTGGGGCGCCCCTCCCTCATCCTTCCTCCAAGAAACAGACTGCCCCCTATCCGGTCCTTTCTGAAAACCAATCCTTTCCCTGTCACTCTGGGACGGTTCATGCTAGCCCGGCCCGTGGCTTCTGGAGGCCCTCTCAGTGTGAGGTAGGGCAGCCAAGACCGTTCAGCCCAGCCTCCTTCCCTTCTCCCCCAAGCATTCCCTTCCCGTGTGCACAGATTAGGACGCAGATGGAGGGTTGGAGAGCAACATGTGTGTTTTTCTTTCTTGCCTGACCTCAGTTCACGGAAGAAAGTTGAAGCTACAGAATTATTTTCAAAAATAAAGCCTGAATTGTCTGAAAAACTCTGTGTGTTTGTGTGTCCTGGTAAAGGAGTTGGGGGTGGAAAAGGGAGGAGAAAGGTGGAGGAAGCAAGGAAAAGAATGAGGCCTAAAGGAAGGGGCTGCACAGGTGAGAGGAAGGAGGTCAGTTGGAGGAAGGAAAGCAGATGACGGGAAGATAGGAGCAGGGAGTAGGAGAGCTAAGGAGGGGCCTAGGTGGGAAAGAAAGGCCAGGCTTGGAGGTGGAGAGGGCCCAAGGCTTCACTCCCCCAGTGCTAATCTTCTCTAGAGGTGGGCAGTGGGGCCCTCAAGCCCTGGTCCGAGAGAGAATGCAGGCAGTCCCTCCTGAAATGGGCACCTCGGGTGGGATGCCCTCTGCTGGCCCAGGCAGCATTCGCTAGGCATCCTCCAGCACATTCCAGGATGCAGAGCTGACAACTGGATCAACGCTGGCAGTAGCACTAAGAGTGTGAGCATGCCTTTTACACTGCCACCCAAGACACCCACACGTAAATGGCAAACTTTGCCTGAAACTATCCTAAGAGTTTCTATTTTCCACTATTTTTATTTTTTTTTTAATGCTGCTTGTGACCTACCAACTTGATTTCATCAGTGGGTTTGAAAACCCTGAGCTAGGTGACTTTGTTGACAGAAACCATCCTCGAGCTTCACACCAGATGGATGAGTTGTGGAGAAGGGGGTGTCACCAGGTCACTGAGGGAGCAACTCTGGCCTCACTTCTGGGCTAAGGGAACCAGGGTCAGACATTCATCTTAACCTTTTAGATTGTTGTAGAGCTAGTTTTGTCTTCCCACGTGCTCTTAGGTGGATGTTTAAACCCTGTTTGGGAGTAGAGAGGTGATCATTAGCTGTGATTGGCAAGGCTCTCCGTCTCGACACAATTGGGCCAGGTGTGCTTTGGCTGCCAGAATCCATGTTCTTAGCACTAAATTAACAGTTGCTTACCAAGTGCATTGTTCTGAGCGCTCCACAAATTAGAATGAACTCCTTTAATCCTCAAAGAGATCATGGGTAGTTAAGTATTGCTCCGTTTTACAGGTGAGGAGCAAACTGGGCGCAGACAGGGTCCTTTGCCCAAGGCCACACACCTGGTTGGGGTGCAGTCAGGATTTGAATGGAACCCATGTTAATCACTACTTAATCAGGACCCTCCCCTTTCCCTCCTTTACAGCCTTTCCTCCAAGGCCGTCTCCTCTGCCTCCCTTGTACTCTGATCTCCCCTCCCACAGGCTCCAGGTTGGTGGGTGGGCCTGGGCTCCCAGGCCAAACAGCAGGTGGGGGTGGGAGGGCAGCCCTCCCAGGGAGATTGTAGAGGAGGAGACCCTCTGAAGATTCAGGCTGGTTTCTCAGGTTTGTCCTTAAGTGAGGAGCACTTTCAGGGGTCTCTGTGTCCTGTTTCTCTTTTGATGCGGGTCCCCAGAGAGGCCACATTCACTATGCCAAGGCATCCTCAGGTGTGATTCATGTGTGCATGGCTGCCAGCCCTCATAGAGCATGAACCTCCTGTGGATAACAAAGAAGGCGGACATACCACATGGAAAAACATGGTGTCATTAGATCCTTCAGAATTCTGCTAACCTTGACTTTGGAGATTAAAGATAATACCAAAGAGCTCACCCAGCTCAACACGGCTCCCCGGCCAGGTGGGCCTGATCTCGGGAGAGGGCAGTGAGTGGTGGCTTAAAGCAGGATCTTAGTTCCCTGCCCAGGAATTGAACCTGGGTAACCTGGGTGAAAAACCAGGAATCCTAACCACTACACCACCAGGGGCTAGAGACTAAAAGCAAAGTTCCCCTGGCTCTTGCCCCATTTGAAAAATGAATTTCTCAATGAGGAAAAAAACTGTAAAACACAGGTACAGAGTTTATTATCAGAGACACAGCATAACATGTGGGAGAGCACACAGAGAAACTGTTGATTTATTTAAGACAGAAGCAAGGCAGAAATATACACCAGGAGAGAAAGGGTGTAGGTGTCCTCCCTGGTGGGGAGAAGCACAGTAAAAGGGCAGTTAAATCATTTATACAGGGCAGTTTTTCCCGGTCTCTGTTTACCTTTGGCCAATTATCTTGTTTCTTTTCTCACACCTGACCTGCCCTAGGACCCTCCCCATAGGCGTGCACAACATTTTGCCAAGATGGATTCCAGCACAGAGGCCTGTGGGAGTTTTGGCATCACTATTGTGGGGTGGCGCCCCCTCCTTTTTGACCCCCTAGGAGCCTTTCTGCGCATGTGTAGTCAGGGAGGTCTCCTTGGTCTCAGGAATGGTCATCTTATCTCTTTACTCCAGCAGAGCTCAGCTCCTGCCTTTAACTTTGGCCTTGGAGTGTCTAGGGAAAAAAAGCTCCAATTTTACTCCACTTGGCAAACACCAGCTGTCCAGCCCAGGGGCCCCTCTACCTCCTACCTCAGGCCCTCACTGAAACGTCGGTGACCGACTGGCAAGGCGCTTGCAGGTTGCAAGTTCCCGTGGGCGGAGGGTTTGTCGGCGTCTCAGCTGCCCACAGGAGGCCTCACGGGGACCTGGTGCGTTTGTGGGCCCAGAAACGGCTTGAGCCATCCCACCACTCCTGCGCCTTGGCCTTGGCCCTTCAGCCTCTGCCAGGGACCCAAAGCCCTTCCTCCTCCATTTCCTGCCATTCTCTCCAACCACTGGTGTTTCCGCCTTCCCTCCACGGCACAAGTCTCTTGGCCTAGGTCCTCTTCTCTTATCTGGGTCATTCAGGTGGGATTCTATTTGTGGGCTGAGTCATCCCGGTGTGGACGGATGTGTTGGATAGAGTCTCTGGCCAGGGTCCCCCTGAGCCTTGGGTTGATCCCCTGGAGTTTGTTCAAAACCGGACCAAGGCTGGGGGGTCGTACCTGGGGGCGTGGTAGGGGGCCAGGTGTAGGGCTGACAGCAGAGTTGAGGATGGGGATTGGGACCGGTGGAGCTGGGGTGGGGGGAAGGGGAGCTTAGGGGGTGTGTGTGCTGAGTTTAGATTGTTAGATGCAACAACCTTTTAAAGTGAAAGGTGGGCTTCCCAGGTGGCGCAGTGGTTGAGAATCCGTCTGCCGATGCAGGGGACACGGGTTCCTGCCCCGGTCCGGGAGGATCCCACATGCTGCGGAGCGGCTGGGCCCGTGAGCCATGGCCGCTGAGCCTGCGCGTCCGGAGCCTGTGCTCCGCAACGGGAGAGGCCACAACAGTGAGACGCCCGTGTACCACAAAATAAATAAATAAATAAATAAAGTGAAAGGTATCATTTCCTTTTTTCTTGTTACAAAAGCGAAATATATTCATTTCAGAAAGCAGATAATAAAACATTCACACGTACATACCACCCCCCCTCCCCCAGTCCCATCTCTGTTTACTCCTATCAGGCATCTTTCTCCTATATGTAGATAAATCGGTAAATCATCTATAAAAGCCATAACTTTACATAAATATTTATTTAGCTTTATGTAAGTTAAACACTTACATGTAACCATGTCAAATATTCACCTTCACCGTAATTTTCATCATTTACCCTCTTCCTTAAATATCTTTAACAAACACTCGGGACTTCAGGCTACCTGAAAGGATTTCCTTAGCGATCAGGGGTTTGCCTACAGCCCAGCCGGGGCCTTGAATCTCTGTCTGTTCTCCCACACACCCTCCACCTAGGAGCAGAGGTCAGGGCCCTTGCTGGTATGGGGACAGACACCACATCTCCTGTGTCTTGAGGCACAGAATCTTGCTTGACTGTTTTCCAGTGCTTCTGCACTTTCTCACTTCTCTGATTAAATCTGCTCTTTGGAACTCAGGGAAGGCCTAGAAAATGAAAAGCTTTTTCACAACAGGAGTGCGGGTGGGGGTGGAGATCTGTCCCCAGAAAGGCCCCACGGGGTCCTGCTCTCTTTCACAGGGATCTGTGTCCCTTCCAGGAGATGCACTTGTATTAAAAGCAGCAGACTTTTACCTTATAGGGTATCGAGTCTGGTAGCCAAAACACAGAAACGCAACACGATGGTGGCCTAAATAAGACGTTTTATTCCTCATTCACTCAGAAGTCCAGGTGGGTGGTATTTTGAGGCTGCTACAGCAGATTCACACCCATCAAGAACTCAGTCTTCTGTTTCTTTGTCCTACGATCTTCAACACATGGTTCCCGGCACCCAGTCCAAGATGGTGCCCTGGCTCCAGTCAGATAGGAAGGAAAGAGAAGGGGAGGGCAAGCCTCTTTCTTTTTAGAATGAAACCTAGAATTTGTGCATATCTCCTTCCCTCATCTCCCAGTCACCAGAACTTGGTCTAGTCCCCCCAGTTACAGGGGAGACAGGGAAATGGAGAGGTAGCCGTGTGTTCAGCTAAAACTTCTCTTACCGTGGTGGTACTAGCCACCTTGGCCTACATGAAACCACGCAGTGGGCAGGAGTGAGGCCCCAGGTCATGAAAGGGGAGCTGGGTTCTGCCTCGTTTGCTGGACTGCACAAATTCTGAGCCTTGAGCTGTGTGGAGCTGCCTTGTAAGAAGCCCAATGACCCTGAGACTGCATTGCTGGAGAGGCTGCAGCCCTGTGAGTCACCCACATTGCATCTCCAGCCCGGGGGTGGGTGGGGTGGGGTGGGGTCCTTGGACGTCTGCTGCTCTGCTGACACCTACCTGAAACTGCATGGGACACCCCAAGTGACAACTGCCCAGCCAAACACTTCCTGAATTTATGACCCACAAATAGGGAGTAAAATAAAACAGTTGTTTTATGATGCCAAGTTTTGGGGTAGTTTGTTAAGGGACAGTGGTACCTGGTGGTCTTAGGTACTATGTTCTGTCGCTGAAATGTAAGATTTTATGTAACCAGAAGGGATGTTTAAACAAATATCTTGAGAATAAGAATTTTTTAACGTTTACTCACCAATCCCTAGGGGTGAGGATATTGCTATCTAGGAGACTGGCTCTATTTTTTAGGTAGAAGTGGTCCTTGAATTAATAGATGTGAATATCTTTTATTTCCTCCCCAAGCTTTTTTTTTTTTCAAATTTAT